ATATATATATATATATATATATATATATATATATATATATATATCATACACATACAAATATCACACATACATACACACACACATATATATACACATATACATGCACAGATACATACACAGTGAGTTGGGATTTAAAGTGAGTGAACTAACTAATAAGTCTCTCTGAGGGCGGCTCAATACAGTTGAATTTGTTTTGTTTTGGAGACAAAGATTTGGGGGAGCTGTGTACCAATATTTGTACTACATGGTGAAAGTGTTGCCCACTTTTTATTTATTTTAATTAATTAGCTTACTTTACATCCTGATTGTAGCCCCCTCCCTCCTCTCTTCCTGGTCCCACCCTCCTTTTCTCTTCCCACCTCCCCTCCCCTACTCCTCAGAGAAAGGGAGCTGCCTAGCCCTGATAAAGGGAAGTGATCAAAATAAAAAAAATGCAGGCAACAGAGTCCATGTGAGAGACACACCTTGTTGCCCTTACTATGGAACACACATGAAGCCTGACTTGTCCATTTGCTACGTCTGTGTAGGAGGCCTGGATCCAGTCCATGTATGGTCCTTGGTTGGTGTTTCAGGCTTTTGTTATTTCTGTTGTTGTTGAAACCCAGATTTAATCCATGGTGATCTGATAAAGTAGAATGGGTTAAATCACTTTTCTTGTATTGGTTGAGGTTTGCTTTGTGGCCAACTATATAGTCAATTTTGGAGAAGGTTCATGTGGAGCCGAGGAGACAGTATATTCTTTTGTGTTTTGGTGAAAAGTTCTGTAAATATCAATTAGGCCCATTTGATTTGTGACATCTGTTAGTTTCATTTTTTTCTCTATTTAGTTTCTGTCTCCATGATCTGCCCATTGGTAAGAATGGAGTTGTTGAAGGCTTTCATTATTAGTGTGTGTGTGGACTGATGTGTTGTTTAAGATTTAATAATGTTCCTTTTACAAATGTGAGTGCCTTGTATTTGGGACATAAATGCTCAGGATTGAGATGTCCTCTTGGTGGATTTTTTTTGATGAGTCTGAAATGTCCTTGCCCATATCTTTTGATTAATTTTGGCTAAGTCTATTTTATTAGATATTAGGATGGCTACACCAGCTTGCTTCTTGGGTCTATTTGCTTGGAAAAACCTTTTCCAGCCCTTTACTCTCAGGTAATGTCTATCTTTGTGGCTGAGGTGTGTTTCTTGTATGCAGCAGAATATTAAGTACTGTTTATGCATCCCTTCTGTTAGCCTATGACTTTTTACTGGAGAGTTGAGTCCATTCATGTTGAGAGATATTAATGACCAATGATTATGAGTTCCTTTTATGATGATGTTATTGGTGGTAATGTGCTTGTGTGCTTGTCTTCTTTTGGTTTTTCTGTAGTGAAACTATTTATATCCTGTGTTTTCTTGGGTGTAGTTAACTTCCTTGGGTTGGAGTTTTCCTTCTTCTATCTTCTGTAGACTGGGTTTGTGCATAGATATTGTTTAAATTTTGTTTTGTCATGTAATATCTTGTTTTCTCCATCTATGATGACTGAAAGGTTTGCTGGGTATAGTAGTCTGGGCTGATGTCTGTGATCTCTTAGGGTCTGCAACACATCTGCTCAGGCCCTTCTGGCTTTTAGCGTCTCTGTTGAGGAGTCAGATGTGATTCTGATAGGTCTGCCTTTATATATTACTTGGTCTTTTTCCCTTAGAGTTTTAAATATTTTTTTTCTTTATTCTGTACATTTAGTGTTTTGATTATTATGTGGTGGAAGGTATTTCTTTTCTAGGCTAATCTATTTGGTGTTCTGTAAGCCTTTTGTATGTTTAAAGACATCTCTTTCTTTAGGCTAGGGAAATTTTTTTCTATGATTTTCTTGAAAATATTTTCTGGTTCTTGGAGCTGGGAATTTTCTCTTTCTTCTACTCCTCTTATTCTTAGGTTTCATCTTTTCATGTGTCCTTGTTCTTGGGGGATTCGAAAAGGCCTTCACCTGAAAGGCAAAATGGGCAAGAAAGAAGAGCAGGACCAAGCTGACCAAAGTTTTGTCAAGGTCTCGTTTATTGAAAGAAAGCTACTTCTTTTTAAGGCAGTCTTATCAGGAAGCAAGCAGGGTGGGGGGAGTCAGCCTCAGCAGGCCTGGAAAAGGAACATCTTGCAGTTTCTCTCGGGAAGTTCCAGCCTGTCTCTCTCCAAGGAGACAATTTATCTTGAAGGCCATTTGTTAGACAATTACCCAAGGCCAGGAACAGGGGAGTTCGAGTCATAGGAATTTTACTGGAGCAGTCAGTCTCCGGCATCCTTGATTTCTTGGATGTTTTGTGTCAGGGTTTTTATTTATTTATTTATTTAATATTTTCTTTGACAGATGTATCGATTTCTTCAACTGTATCTTCTAACCTGAGATTCTTTCCTCCATCTCTTGTATTCTGTTGCTGATGCTTACCTCTGTGGTTCCTGTTCTCTTCCCTAAGTTTTCCATTTCCAGGACTTCCTCAGTTTGTATTTTCTTTACAGATTCTATTTCCATTTTTAGGTCTGGAACCATTGTATTCATTTCCTTCACCTGTTTGATTGTATTTTCCTGTATTTCTTTAAGTGGCTTATTTTTTTCTCTTTAAAGGCCTCTATCAACTTTATAAGCATCATTTAAGGTTCTTTTCCTGTGTCTCAGCTGTGTTAGGATATCCAGAGCTTATTGTATTAGGATAGTTGGGTCTTTTGTTGCCATATTGCCTTGGTTGTTGTTGATAGTGTTTTTATGCTGGCCTTACTTAGCCATGGCTAAGTTGCTTGGTTGTTCCTGGAGCCCACTGGGCTTCTCAGGCATGAAGGAGCCCAAGATTGTAGGCTGGGTGCTAGATTTCCTCTAGTATCCTACAGCTGTCCTCTGCTGGTTGTGCCCCAGTTAGACCTAAGGCCCTGCATGTCTCCTCAAGACAGGTAGTAGAGCCATGCATCCTAGGCAGTATCTGCACATCTCTGGAATCCCAAGTAGTCCTCAGGATGGCAAGAGTATCCAGGAGTTCTGAGGGTGGTACTGTGCGTATCCGGTAGCAAGGTTCCTCTCTTCTCGCTGGGGAACTATGAATGAACACTGGTCTTTTGGAGTCAGGAGCACGATGGCTTGCTCATCCCACAGACACTGCACTCCTGGTATTCAGACTCCACTGGGCAAAGCCATCTTGGATCAGGATCCTGTATGCTTCTATTGTCCAGCCCATCTCTACTGGGAAAGGAGTAGAACCATGCACTGGAGGCCGGGACCTGTGTTCTTGGTATCCAGGAGTTGTCCTCAGGGAGGCAGAAAGAGTTGGGGGTATGGATGCTGAATTGTACATTTCTGGAACTTGAGAGTCATGTTTAGGTAAACAGAAGGTTGCTGTGTGCCAAAGCCCACTGGCAGAGTTAATCTATGTCATCCCCAAAGTCTTCTTCTATCAAGAAATTATTATTATTATGCCGGAGCCAGCCAGCAGAGTGGAACGGTTTGTGAGTCGGGAGTGAGGATTAAAATTAATAAAATAAACACACAGCACACAGGAAACTTTTTAAAGGTTCAGACTCAACAGCCACAGCAAAAGGCAGGCTGCCGCAGCAAGCAGCACAAGCAGCAAGTCTCAAGTCTCTGCCTCCTCCTCTGCCTCCAGCCCTGTGACCTCTTTATTTGTGAGGAGTTTCTTTTAGCCAGCAAAACATCTCAGAACAATGGGTTAATTTCCACAAGGAGCCTGAGGAAGAGGTGTGACCCTTACAAGCTATCCCACCTGCTGTCACAAACAAAAGGAGATGGACTTGCAAGTTCTTCTCTGCCATTAGTAAAGGCCTGCTAAAAGCCATCTCTCTGCCGAGATTTAAATACCAAAGCAGGCCGCTGGAGTCATGGCTCCCAACATCATTAGGAGGGACATATAACTCCTCTGGAGGAGCTGATGGTTTAACCTCATTTTGTCTCGAAGCCTCCCATCTTTCTTTCCTCTTTCTCTCTAACCCCAAAAGTTTCACTTTCTCAGTCCTGTGCTGCATATACAGACTATTTCTAATCAAATTCCATACAAAAAACATGAGGCTACTGCCTTGTCCCATTTCTACTCTCGAATGAATTTTACTCACCACGCCCTTTTCTCTTAACTTTATGGTCCGAGCTCACCAACACCCGTGGCGTCCTTCACTGCTTTCCTCTATCTCAAGTCCCTGTTGTGGTGCCAAACTGCTGGCGCCCGCCTACAGAGTTGAACAGTTTTTGAGTGGGGGGTGAGGGCTGAAAGAAAAATTAATAAACCAGCACAGTACACATCTTTTCAAGAGGGCAGCCAGTAGAACTGTCACACACCGGTTTATTCTAATAATCCCTTTTTATAGAGCAAAGCACCTTGATACAATGAAGGGTGAGTTCATGCAGAAGTCAAACTTGTTTACCTCAACCACCTGTCTGTGTGATCCTCACACAACAAAAGGAAATGAACTTGGCAACAAACATCCTGTCTATCCCTGTCTCCAGGTGAAGGCCATGAAAGCAGATTTTTAAGCAGCATGACAAACAAGTGGCTCTTACAACCGTGTGTGTCCCTTAGACCCAGGAGCTGTCTGAAGGGGTCTGGAACTGTGCGTCCTTAGATCTAAGGATGCCTCCTCTCATCCAGGAAACAAAGATATTAGGATTTTGGAGTCAGCATCCAGTCACTCACTTGTTCTACAGTATCTGATCTTCTGCTACTCAAATACCCTGTGCACTGGGAACCACCAACTTGGAGTCCCCCCACTTTTTCTTAAATAGATAAAAGTGTTCATATGAATGAATGACCAAATTGGCTTCATTTATAAAACATCCTATTAATTCTTTGAAAATTTCAAACAATGTTGACTTTATATCTTATATTAAAAAGAAGCTAAAGTTGAAGTTAAGTCCATACTTATCCAAAAAATATACAAATATACTTCTTCAAAAGCCTTGCCTTTTCAATTGAGGATATCTTGTGGGGGGGTGCCTTAAATTTTTTGTATGGTTATTTGTTTTTCAGTTTAAGCAGCACACGTGTATGTGTTCCTGAAAAAGTATTTGGAGACTAACCCTCAACAACAAATAAATCATATTTTAAATGAGTGTCAAAACTCAATATTTGAGAGCATTCTGAGATAAACCAATTTGTGAGTTGAAAATCTTCCTGAAGCTCAAGTTCACTCTCTAGCATAAATCTATCATGTTATCATTAATCTGTACATAGTAGAAATTATATGTGATACACATTAAAAATTATGTAAGTATTGAGATAGTAACAACCGCTAGTGTTTGGAACATGGAAGATAAAACATGTGCAGGCTTAATAATGGCTATTCTTTCACTGTGTTTTCAGCTATGATAAGTTATAACATAATAACTGGAGATACTTTGAGCAAAGTTTTTCAAAGGATCCCAGGAGGTAGGTGAAAATGAGAAATGTGACGAATAACTTTATTTTCCATAGCTATCATGTAATTCAAACATTTATAAATAAAATATTTAAATGTGGGGTTGAACCACCTCGCAGACTTTGCAGTTCCCATGACCTGTGTGCATCTTAGACTACAGATCTACATTAACTTTTAACTAATTTTTAAAAGTTGCTGTTTTTTAGCTGGGTGTGGTGGCACAGGCCAATAATCCCTGTACTTCTGGAGGCAGAGGCAGGCAAATCCCTTTGAGCTTGAGGCTAGCCTAGTGTACAAAGCAGACAGCCAAGACTTTACAAAGAAATGCTGTCTCAAAAAAAAAAAGTTGCTCATTTTTCTCCCGACATGGTGGTGCATGCATGGCTTTATTAATTCCAACACTCCAGAAGCAGAGGCCAATGGATCTCTAAGTTTCAGGCTAGAATGTGTCCCAGGACAGTCATGGCAACACAGAGAAACCCTGACTCAAAAAAAAAAAATACTAGATTTCATAAACTTCCACCAGATTTCTTCACAGTTTTTGCTTTTTTTCAGATTACCATGTAAATGCCACCAAAAAGCACATAGTTTTCTAAGTCTGGCACACTCAGCAGATTGTATATAGCTGAGACATGTCACTCCCTGTGGCTTTATCAGGAGTCTGTTTATATTTCTACTGTTAGTATTTCATACTGTGGAAATACAAAAATCCAGTGTGTCATTCATCTGAGGAACATTTATATCATTTCCGTTGTGGGTCAATTGTGCATGTATTGAAAACCCATTTCCTGTTTGGCATATCACCTCATGGCTATGAGAGTAATTCAGAAAGTATAAGCAAGGCTGCTTGTGGTATAGGAGCAGAGAAACTGACTTCAAGGCTGTTGGGGCTAAAGAGATGGTTCCCTGGTTAAGAGAATTGGCTGATCTTGCAGAGGACTAGAGTTCAACTCCTAGCAGCTACAGAGTGGTTTACAACTCCACTGTAACTCCAGTTCCAGGGGATTCCACACCATCTTCTGACCTCCATGGGCCCTACTCATGCACATGACACACAGACAAACATGCAACAAAACACGTATGCACATTGAATAAATAAATAATTATTAAAGCTGCTAGTCATAGAAATGTAAAAGTCTGAGACATCGTATGAAGTATAGGATCATTCTTGGATTATTCTTTATTAACATTTTTGTGGTGTATTTCTATTTTAACATGATTCTTTTGGTTATTAACCTCAAACCATCCTTATATAGGATTTATGATTTTTTTAACTCATTGTTCATAAAGATATGGTTAGGTAGTTAATATGTCACCAATGTGTCATTTATACCTGTAAACTAAAGAATATTTACTATATTTTAGTTGATCCTGGAAGTTTCTTTATTAGTCGATACTTCATTATTGTGGTTTCAACGGTTACATTTACTCTGCCTCTGTCATTGTACCGAGATATAGCAAGGCTTGGAAAGGTAATTTTTACATTTTAACGTTTATTTATTTATGTGTTAATGTAAATGAGTATTTTGCTTGCATGTATGTATGCGCACCATGGGCTTTCAGGAGCTAGAAAAGAGCAAGAGATCCCCTGGAATTGGAGTGTTTACAGAGGCTTGTGAGCTGTCATATGGATGCTGGGAATTCACCCCAGGTTCTCTATAGGAGCAGCCAGTACTCTTAACCACTGAACCATCTCTCCAGTCCTGCTTTTACATTTTAAGTAGCCTTAACTTTGAGAACTGACAGTCTATACAGCTATTGTTCCAAGTATGCTTGAGCAAACTGTGATTAGCTCGTTTCGAGAAACTGGTGGTTAAATGTGAACAAAATATATTCTTCCTTTTTCTTCTCTAAAAAAAAAATGACATAACAGACAATGGATTTTAAATTTACAAAATACAGAGGACTATATCTAAAGCAAGTCTACTTTATTAGGAAGTAGATAATTTAAACTTTTTGTAGGTAATTTAAACAGTTAACCTAAGCTTGACAAAGAAATGATAAGTGTTTGGAGAGATAAAAGTTTCATCTTATTTAAGCATTATAATATATATATATATATATATATATATATATATATATATATATATATGTAACAAAATTTGTGTGATACTCCTAATCTATATTATTATGCTTTGTGTATCAGTTAAAGGCAAATCAAATTATATGTAAGGATTAATTACTTAAATGATCTATACTCTTTTCATTTATAAATTACAACATCTATTATGTACATTTTCCACTTGGTGGATGTAAATAACAATTTGTTGATTTATCAGTTGTTGAAAATTTGGCCAGTGACACTAAATTCTTTCTAATAAAATTAACTAAATAATTATTTGACATATCACATAAACTTATTTATATAGATTACCCTTTATTTCCCTGCATTTTATTCTCTTACTGCCAAGTTTTGTTTCTATTTCACTCAGAGTATAATTGGTACTATATCTACATAGCCAAACATTCATATAGTAAGTTTTTTTTTTTAAAGAATTAATCACGTGATCCTTGTATGGTCTGTATTGAAAACTGCAACTATCAATCACATTTCACTCCTGCCTTTATGTTTGACATAGTGTGTCCAATGTTGAGGTTCCTTCCTGCAGGCGAAGTTGCACACAGAGCCAGCATTTCAGAGTGTTCTCGCCTCCTGGCCTTCCATCTCTAACATCCATCCAGAGACACGCAAGGATGGATTGAAAGGGACACCAGACATGGTGTTGCATACTTGTAACCCCAGCATTTAGGAGCTAGAGGGAGAGGCAGGAAAATACCTATGATTTTGAAGGCAACCTTACATATATGTAATTCTAGGCCAGCCAGGACTAGATAGTGAAACCTTGTCTCAAAGAATTAATAATAATAATGTATTGAAGAAAAACTTTTATATGTCCATTATCTGGTTATCTGGGTGATTTAGCAATTTTTTTTTTCACTTCACAAGTTCAATATAAATACATAAATGTTATTGTCTTAGCAAAGAAAGCTAATCCTTCATGGAAAATGGTAATATTTAACATATTAATTCCCTATATGTCCCTTGAAGGTATCATACTGAAACCCAGTGAACGAAGCATAGTACAGGCGCTCTCTGGAGTATGAGCTTGCATTTGAATCCCACCCCTGTTACCTTCTAACGATGTGGGCTTCAATTTGATATATTTTTTCTCTCTTTTCTCACAAGACCAGGAACTCATCATAGACATTTATTTCAAAATACACATTAAAAACTTAGAACCCAATGTTAATGATAATCACATGAAATTAAAGCAATCTGAGACTTTTTTTTAACTTGTCGTAGAAGCCGTCTCAAATGTGCTTATCCATTTTAAGTGAGGAATTGAAACAAAAACCTAATGTAATAAGTACCCAGAGCACAAGCATGTGCACAGCAGCTTATGTTTTAGCCAGATGAAACAGGCTCATCACTGGAGGAAGACAGAGAACAGAATCAGAACTCCAGGGCAAAGGGCAAACTGCACCAGGAAAGTAGACTAACAGAGCTAGAGAGCAGAGAGGGAAAAGGCAGACATTAAAAAAAGAATGGCATCCAAGATGAGTATATGCATGTTATGTTGAAAGAAGATGGGGAAGATATAAATAGAAGAAGCAATTATAGATAGAAAGAAGCTTAATTCAATACTAAAATGGAGCCTGAAGGGAGAAAAAGATAATTTTACTTTTACTTTCATAAATTAAAAGTCCTCACTCTGTATCTTGTGCAGGAAGTAAATAAAAGCCCTTAAAGTTTTCTTGGAAAATCACAGTGAACAACTGATCTTCTGTTTGTGGCTCAGAGACAAGGATTATGACCTGATAAGTAGTTACATACCCATAAGTATGTAGACTGACCTAAAAGTTTATAAACCACTGAGGGAACTGGATAAAAACAATCCATGGCTAAATTCATATAATTTTAAAGAATAATTCACTATTTTGAATAAATTATCTGCATCTTGTCCTGACAATGTCTTCATATTTCCTTTTGCAGATCTCTTTCATTTCTACAATTTTAACAACACTAATTCTTGGAATAGTAATGACAAGAGCAGTTTCCTTGGGGCCAATCATGTAAGTGTTGTTGTATCTTTGACTTTATATCAATATTAGCTGAAATATAACATACTCAGAAACATAAGAAAAATGCAGAAGTGAAACAATATAGCCAGATGTGGTTTCTCATGCCTATATGCCCAGGGTCCAGGAGGAGGAGGAAGCAGCCAGATCAAGAGTTCAAAGTCATTTTCAGCTAGGTAGCAGGGTCAAGGCCAAACTGAAATACTGGGGACTCAGTCTCAAAATAGAAAATAAGAAAGGAAAGAAGGAAGAAAGAGGTTATATACATATAGCAATGAGAAACCCCATGCAGTTAATACCTGGAAGAAACAGAAAATGGCTTACAGTTAGTAAACACACTAAGGGGCCTGAAATGTACTAAACAATATAAAAATTAGTTTAAGCCATGTCTTAGGGAATGCAAAAACTACTGTGCCTTCTATGAAAGGTCTCCAAGAAAAGAAACGGGAGGGGAGACACGGGGACTAGATCTGATTGTAAGTGAAGTGCATAGGTAATTTGTTTCCCTCCTGATTAATTGCTGCTCTGTCAAGTTGGCTCCTGGTGCATACGCTCATGAAAAGCTTCTTAGCTTGCCAGGAAAAAAAAAATGATAAAATACATGACTCAAGTAGACAGAAAATCTGAGACCAGGGTGCCAACATGATTTGATTCAGTAGAGTCTCTTGTCCCTTTGCCACAGGTCATTATATTGCAACCAGCTTTGCTGTTGTTGCCGTCCTGACCTCATCTGGGCCTTATTACCTCCGGAAGTTCTTCTTGTCCAACACCATCACACTGAAAGAGCAGGGCTTTACCATAAGAACTGGCACAGATAGCTGGGGAAGTACAGCTCCTTGGAAGAGTGCTTGAGTAGAATGTAAGATATCCCTAAAGTCAATTCCCAAGAGTAACAAGAATAAAAGAAGGAAAGAGAGAGGAAAGAAAGAAAGAAAGAAAGAAAGAAAGAAAGAAAGAAAAGGAGGAAAGAGGGAAGGAAGGGAGGAAGGGAGGGAGGAAAAGAAGGAAGGAGGGAGGGAGGGAAGGGAAGCAGGAAAAAGGGAGTCATTAATCCAGCCCTTACACACCCTTAGCAGCTTTGAAATTTATTTGATTTGGCCTCCCAGTTTATCAGGGAAAATGACTAGATAACTATCAGGGAAAAGAGGAAGTGATATTCACTTCCTGTCAGGTTAAATGAGCTTATTTTGTGCTGAAAGCGCTTAAAGAGCTATTTGTTTCGTTTCTAAACAAAACGTAGCCTTAATTTCCTCTACCGCTGATGTAATATTTTATCTGTGACTGAATATTTACAATGATGTGGGATTATTTATTTAACTCTTCCAATATTTAAATGTCTAAGAAGTATGTTTTTTCATATGCTGCCACATTTTATTTCTGTTTGAATAGTTCTGCAAACAACTTCTGCTTGCCCTGTTTACACTCAGGCTAATCTGTGTAGGGGTTGGCACAGTAGCTAGTCAAGCAGGCTTCTTTCTGAAAATAAGACAGGCACGGATGCTCATCATCCATAAAACATGAGAAATCCAATACACCATGTGTGCTTTTCTTCATTTTCAGTTCAGACGAACGATCAGAAAAGCTGTGGATTTCTCTCCCTCCAGGTCTTCTAAAATGGTATTTGAAGAAAAGATCTTTAAACCCACTATCAGAAGAGAGGCAGGCCTGTAACGGCTGCTGATATTGACCTTGTTACCATAGAAACACCTTTTTAGTGGTTGTGTTTTAAAAATAAAACACAATTCAATTTCCTTTTCCATAACTCATAGGGCCATAAATTCTGCTTTCTGAAATGACTTCATATAGCCACAGTTCTTCTTGGAAATTATGTTCAGTTTTATTATATTTTCTAGGTCTTTGCTTTATAAAAATTGGGGTAGCAAGGCAATTTAAGTGCTTTTCAGAAAGTGCACAAGTATAAAAATGCAGTTAATTTGTTTTTTTTCCTATTTTTTAACTTAAATAAGAGTCATTTTTTAAAAAAAAATCTTTATTTTGGATGTCATTAATATATGTATCTTATAATCAGTGAGGAAATAACAATCAAATTTAAAACTGTTTTCTTCATATGACATCTTTGTTATAGCATTTTAATAATAGCAGTATTTAAAACATACCTGTAGTAAGTAAATCTATACTTTTTACAGTCATTTAGATACACAAAGTGTACCCTAGGGCCCAGCAAGCATTAATTTCCTAACTCTGTCCATTCTGGAACTAAAATTCTACAATTTAATAAACTAGATTGGATTCAAGATAAGATCAGGAAAAAATGGGTAAAAATATGGAAAAAGTACATATTAGGGGAAGAGAAGGATAAGTTTTGACAAATGTCAATCACTGAACTTTCATGATGTATGAATTATTGCTGTTTCTGTTGTAAATGACGATCTGGCGATCACCAAACTCTAATCCTGAAGCAAAAATCAATCTACTAAGGTAACTTTAAGGTTCAGATGGCTGTATCCCGGAACTCAATTAATGAAGTCACACATGGCTTCTCTTTTCATCCATCTCTTTTTTTCTGCTTCTTGTTTGAGCTCTAGTTTCTGAAATGCCTTCTCACTGTCATAAGAACAGGTAGTCTCAACTTCTATCTATTCATGTCTAAGTCCCCAGAAAGAGAGAAAAAAAAAAAGTTTTCTCTTTCAGGTGCTTCCAGTCCACTGCAAGGATTATTTCCAATTGGCTCCTTTGAGGATCTGTAAGGATTTCTATTCCTGGATCTGTGCTTGTGATCTTGTCACAGGTGCCTACCCTTGGAGCTAAGAATAGGGTCATTCCTAGTCTGAATAGACTGAATAGGAAAATGAGTGTCCCCAAAAGATATCAAAGCAGTAATGATTAGAAATGTGGAGGAGCCACTGTGCCCTGAAAATTACAGTACCATTTTGTTTCAATTAAATGGTATGGGTAGAACACACTTTAACATATAAGTGAATGCCAATATCCTCGTGGGGAAAAAATTCCATGATAATTCTAACTTATTTTATGCCGTCGGTGTATTTACAAACCATATATAACAATGTTCCATAAGTTACTTTAGTGTCATCTAGAATACCCCCTTTCCTTATTGTTGGGCATGTAAACATCAGACAGCCACAGAACACTCATAATTCTAACAAATATTCATAACGTTAGAGAATTATTAGGCTGGAGAAATGGCTCAGCCATAGTGTGCATACAGCACAAGGATGTGGATCTGAATTCGTATCTCTAGCACACACACACACACACACACACACACACACACACACACACACACACGGCTTAAAAAGCTGAATCATTGGTGGATGCCTGTGATCTCAGAACTGGGAAGGTGGAAACAGGAATGTGGAAACAGGAGGGTCTCTGAGTTTGCTGGCCAGCCAGTCTGAAGAAAACAATGAGCTCCAGGTCCATTGAAAGAACTCCCTCTCCATCCTCCCAACCCCCAAAAGAAATAGGTAGTAACAGCCTAAACAGGAAGCCTTTGCAGAGAACCCTTAAGAACTGATAGAATGTTTCCAGCGGGAGGGGAAGGGCTCAGCCCTATTTAAGGGGCAGGCCACAGAGAGTTTGACCAAGCTCCAGTGAGTATATTGATACCAAAATCTTGGACTTTCATTTTTGCTGGCGGGCGGGTGTATGTCACAAGGTGGGGGGTGGCCAGGCTAGGACTGGAAAGCAAATGTGAGAGTGGTGTATGATGTGAAATCCTCAAAGAATCAATAAAAATATTATGTTGGGGAAAAAAACAAGATGGAGAAGTGACTGAGGTTGAGATGAGTGTTGACCTCTGACCTTTGCATGCACACGTTCTCAGACACCCGCATAATTTATGTTCCTCAGCAAATGCATATGCAAAAACATATAGTAATAACCATAATAATTAATAATGATGATAATAATTTTTTGAAGTAAATTCTACTCTACCCTCTCCCACCTGCTTGATTGTGTCAAGCAACAACCCTTTGTGAAGAGTCTGCAAGGGAATCAAAGAATAGATGGTGTTAAGAATCAAAGGAAGTTGATGTCTCAAGTGACAAAACATGTTCATGATTACAGTTTTTCACATGGATCATTTTTGCAAGAAGCAAACCTAAAAAAAATCAGCATTAAGTAAGTAATCACAAGGAACGGTTTTTCCCCGGCAGCTCATGGCAAACACAGATCTCTATCACGGAGTCAGGTGCAAACCAGCTAGGAGGAAGTAGAAGCTGAGGAGCCAGCTGATGCTGAGCTGGGGGAAGTGGTCATTTAAAGCTTGTGGTGTGACGGAAAACACTGTGCCTAGGGATAGCCAGAGCATTTAATGCTCAGCCGTGTCTGATTTCAGCAGTTAACTTACATCACTCTCCATAGAAATCGGGCTCAGCCCACAATGGAGTATTTGGGAGCCTCCTCTGCTCAGCTTAAGGGTTTGAGTGTGTGCTACCAGAAGGCACAGGTGCTCTCAGCCTCCTGTTGCAGCGTCCGCCTGCAGTGTCCTTCTACCCAGTAGTAATACCTTGAAGCTTAGCTGTCGTTTTGTTGTTATATGTTTGAAAACGGGACTTAATACATAACCCAGGCTAGCCTGAAATTTGCTATGTAGATCAGGCCAATTCCAAGCATAGAGACATCCACTTGCCTCTTCTTCCTGAGTGCTGAGATTTAGATTTCCAGTAAAGATAAGATGTGTGAATCCAAGAATCCAAACTCTCACCCACATCTGGCAGCTCACAGCCAGCTGTAACTCCAGCTCCAGAGGATCTGTTGTCTTCTTCAGGCCTGTACAGGCATGCCCACACATGGCATATACTCCTACTGAAGGACGTATAAATAAAAATGATTTAAAAGAAATCTTTTCTTAAAAAGCATATAGGACTATGTGTAGCTTTGTTATTAGCTTGCAGGAAACCCTCACTTTGATCCCCAGCACCGCCTCCCCATCAAAAAGAGCAAACAAAAATTATATAATTAACATCTGTGCAGATTTTTTTTTTTTTTTTGCATGTAAAGAAAACTATCATTCATTTTCAAGTGCTGGCCATGCTTAAGGCTGCAGACCCTAAATACCAGCCCCTAAATGATCTTTTCTCTCTTCACACAATGTAATTCATAGACACTAAAGCTCTTAAAGTTAAGTACTTTCCCCTTTTTACACTTCCTTCCAACCCCTTCTTTGGTTATTGTCTCTCAAATGCTCAGACAGTAAAGATGATGGATCAACCTGCCAGGCAGGGCATCCTTTCCTGCTGTGCCTTCTAGAAGGATCAGCCTCTTAGTTCATTCCTGCACCACCGCCCAGCACCCCAGGACTCTCCATCACCTCTTCCCTGTTCCAGATAGTCTCTCAAGTGCCTAGTTTTATTTGCTTTCCCCTTTTACTGGCACACATACAGTAGCTCACTGGTCTCCAAGCCACACTCCCAGATGGCATGAGGCAAGCCACTCTGGCCCTCCATACAGTTCTCCACAGTTGTGACATAAATATCCACTTTCTTTCTCACAAAGTATTTTCTCCACCTATGTCTTCCATCCTGTCCCTCAGGAACCATTTACATTGCCTTAGTGATATTTTAGTGGGATCTTAGGACAGAATAGAAGTCCGTGTGGCCTATCTACTCTTGTTTAATTAGATAGTGTGTGTGTGTGTGTGTGTGTGTGTGTGTGTGTGTGTGCATGCACATACCTGGGGAGGTCAGAAGAGGTCCAATATGGGTACTGGGAAGAAAGCTAGAATCCTCTGGAAGAGCAAGAAGTACTTTCAACTCCCAAACCATTCTTCCAGGCCCAGGTTAAAATGTTTCATTGATTTCCATGGAAGTCTTAGAGCAAATTTAATCATTTATTTAAAAGACATTTTATGCCTTAAAAAAAAACTGTTTCTTTTTATGTGGAGTCTATACTCTTTTGTGATCTAATGGATAGGGATGGTATTTTAGTCAGGGTTCTCTAGAGCAGCAATATATATATATAGTATTAGAATGACATACAGGCTGTGGCCCATCTAATCAAACAATGGCTGCTATGAACAGGAGCTCCAAGAATCCAGTTATTTTCTTACTCTATGAGGACACATGTCCCAGCTGGTCTGCAGTATATGCTGGGATCCCAAAGAGTTGGGTTCTAATGCCAATGAAGGAATGGACTTGCTAGCAAGGTGAAAGCAAGCAGGTAAAAAGCAAAAAACTTCCTTCTTCTATGCCCTTCTATAGGCTTCCAGCAGAAGGCATGGCCCAGATTACAGGGAAGTCTTCTCACTTCAAAAGATTTGGATTAAAGCTGTGTCTTCCCACCTCAAACATCCAGATTGGATGTTCCCACAAATCAAGAAGAAGAAAAAAATCTCCCACAAGTGTACCCCATGTTGGGGTTAGTCAAGTTGACATCCAAGAATAGCCATCACAGATAGGTAATTCTTTCTCAGAAATTATCCAATTACTTATGACAACATTATTTATAATAATGAAGATATAGAAACAACCTAAGTGTCTACCCACTGATCAATAAAGAAAATACAACATACAACACATACAATTTAATACTATTCACCACAAAAAAATAAAATCATGTAATTTAAAGAGTTGAATGGTTGTCACTAGAGCTGGGGAGGGGATGTAGAAGGGCACAGTTAAGTAACAGAAATAAGTCTCATGTTCTATATTCAGTAGAATGATTATAAAATGTGATAATGTACTGTTTATGGTTAGAAAGCTAGAAGAAAGTATTTTAAATATTTTTATGGTAATGATACAGAATAAATTATTAAGTGCATGTTTAAGTGTGTGTGTTTGCCCTGACTTAAAAATTACCTGATATGCAACTGTATCACACACAGAAATATCACATGATACCGCATACATATGTAGACTTTTATGCAAATTTAAAACATAATAAATTTTCTATCTGCTGTATTCTGAGTCCTTTCTTTCCCTGTCAGTTTCTAGTCTCTGTTTCTCTGTGACCCAAATATTAAAAGGAGAGAAAGTAAGAAACACCACTGTCAGTGTTTAGATGAAAGCTTTGGGAAGAAATTTTTGAGATTCACCCCTTAAAATATTCCTTCACATAAACTCCAAATTGGGTATTAAGTGCCTGTTTAAACACCCAACAAAAATTCGATTCAATAAAATCATGGAGAACTAACAGCTTGCTTCAAATGTTTATGAAAATAAATACTGAATCATATGCTTTTGTGTATGTGGTAAAATCCACATGCTTTCCCTCACTAATCTGTTAATATGGTAAATGTATTAACAGATATTTCTATGATATTGCCCTGGCATTAGGCAGGCCATTTTTGGTGATGTATTAATTATAAACATTGCTTAGATATATTGCTAGTATTTTTGTATATGACATTCATAGTCTTAAGGCAGAAAAACCATAACTTCATTTGTTTCATTTTTTTTCAGCCAGGTTGGATATCAAAGAGATAGCCATTCCTTCTCCCCCCACCCCCCATCTCTCTCTTTCCCTCCATTTCTCTTTCTCCCTTCCTCTTTCCTTCCTTTCCTCATTCCCTACCTCTCTGTGGAACTGTTTCTGAACTGAGTCCTAGGCTGGTACAAATCACTGAAAACTCACATGCCATTATGTCTTTCCTTTTCCTAGATTTGGAACACATTACTCAGTAAGAGCATATCAGAAAGTTAGGCAGTCTTCCGTTAGTACTGCCCGGTATGGACCATTTTGTAAGTAGGTTAAATAAGTGTGCACATTGCACATTAAGTAAGGCTAGAGTTTGCCAGGCTGACTAGAGAGCAGTTGAGGCAGCAGGTGGCGGTAGTTCCCACTCTAAGAGCAAAGATTCCCAGCAGGAGAAAACAGTGGGAGGCCTCCATCTCAGGCTAGGTTTTTTTTTTCCCTTGAGAGCTGTTCCTTTCATTTATAGAAAGATGATATACTGCACAAATTCCACAGACTTTGACAAAACAAATAGAATTTATTTGTGTCCTCTTTATACAGACGATGAATAACAAACATGAAAGTTGAGTTTTCATCTTGAGAATTCCTTTTTATTTAACCCTCCAATGCCTGCATGTTATTCAGTGGGCATATATATCCCTGTCTATCTCCACACACTCTTTTGGGTCTCATTCCTGTCTATAAAAGTGTGTCATTCCCGTGGACTCCTATCTACCTTTGAATACTTAAGAAAGGATACTAACCAAGTATTTCTAAATAGTACTGATAAAACTGACTATACATTGAACATATACTGTCTTACAGTCTTCTTTTAAAAGATTTACATGTCTTACCTCGTTTAATCTGGAAATTAGATAATATGGTTATTCCCACTTTATAGATGCAGAAATTGAAACATGGATCAATTAACTTGGCTAAAGGAACACCTTAGCCAATAAATAGAGGAGACCAGAACAGACTCAAAGCCAGTAATATTCATTATTACTGGAGGCAGAGGGAAGAATAGTTGTTTGATAGGCCAATCCAAGCTGCTTCTAGATATTTTAATTCCACTAGAATATATGCTGCTTGAGAATTTAAAGTGATGAAGTAGACATGATGAAGCTACACTTTTATTAAGCCCAGAACTATAAAGGTGGGGAGAGGCGGTGACACAAGTTTGAGGCCAGCCTAGCCTAGATAGTGAGACTCTGTCTCAAAACAAATAGCTGCATAAAAATAATTATGGAAACATAAATGTTTAGACCTCCTCTTGAGAAGTACACCAACAGGTGGAAAGTTGAGGCTAATGCAGGGAAAGATTTTGACCATTACATACCAGAAAACAAAGCAAACTAGACCATGATGCAGAGACTACCTTAATGTTAAAAACAATTCTTTTGGTTTAGGTTTGGGTTTGGGTGTCTCACTGTGTGGCTTTAGCTGGCCTGGAACTCAGTTTGTAAATCAGGCTGGCCTTGAGTTCGCAGAGATCCACCTGCCTCTGCCTCCTGGGTGCTAAGGTTAAAGGTGTGCACCACTCTGCCTGGCCTAAAGGATGACCATTGTTGAATGTCCCTGCAAAAGTCAAATGAGATAACAAAATTCTATCTCCCCCAGAAATAGACAGTGTACCCGCAGTTGGCATCAATTCACATGCAAATTTCTTAAGGAACTACAGTTCCCATTATATTTCTCTCAGGTCGATCAAGCCTGAAAAACTAAAGTGAATAAAGAGTAGTTAGAGGATACTGGTAATTTTATATCTCACTTAGGATCTTGTGTGATGACTCCATAAAAGCTTTCTGTGTTAAATTGACTGAGCAAATCAGTTCCCCAAATCACATAGTCACTGACTATTTTAAATGTGTAAACACAGAAGCTAGCCAAATATTAAACAGACATTTTAGAGTACTGGGTTTGAAGACATGCTGGCACCCCCAGGAAATATGTTTTTGAGATGAATAGAAGCTCCTTACTAATTGTTTTATCATTCTTTTTGGTAACTTATTTATTTTATATGTATGCGTATTTTGTCCACATGTTCTCTCCTCTCTCTCTCTCTCTCTCTCTCTCTCTCTCAATGCCTCTCTCTTTTTCTGTGTGACCGTGTGTGTATGTGTGTGTCATAGATATCTGGTGCCCAAGGAGTTCATAAGAAGGCAATTGATCCTCTAAAATTGGAGTTTCAGGTGGCTGTGAGCCACCATGTGGATATTAGGCATCATATCTGGGCCCTCTACAAGAGCAACAAGTGCTTTTAAACTCTGAGCTGTCTCTCTAGACCCCTTTATTAAGTTCCTTTTGAAAGAGTCTCAATTTTTATGTGTGACACTATTTCTTATTCTTCAATAAGCTTATTACTATACTCGCTTAATAATGTATCTAATTAACTGATTTTCTTCTAGACCAAAGACAGATGATGCTTGGATATTTGCAAAGCCCAATGCCATCCAGGCTATTGGGGTGATGTCTTTTGGTGAGTACCTGGCTTCGAAACCCTTCCTCAATATGACTCTATCTGCTCCTTGAAGAGTACTGTCTATAGCGGGTCTTCTAAGTTTAGATTCCTTTTTAGCACCAATACAGTCTAGTTTGTGTTAATATAAAATGAGATGCAAGCTGTTCATGTCCATTGCTAACTTTTCCTATTCATTACTAAAATCTGCTTCTAATTGGAGAGCAGTGTTTTCCATGCTGGGCTTTGATTATGGTTAGCATTTCCTAACTTGGAAGTCCAGCAAACATCATGAACTTCTTCAAAGTGTTTGCAGAAAAGATCACAGTTTGGCTAGATATGTATAATTCCCTTATATCCTGAGGTCAAGGAAGTTCAGGTACAAATTTTCCTTAAGATAAGAAGGTCCATTAGGAAGATGCAAAATCAGGAGGGAAGTTGGACAGGCCTGGTTTATGATGAGAGAGAGACAAAGATACTAGGCAAGCCTTCCGTGAAGTTTCTTGTTTGTAGGCCTATTAGAAAACTTACTTTCTGGCTTATTTGGTGTTATAAATAGTCATTATACTTTCTTTCATGTTAGGTACTTGAAATTCTAAGGCAGTACACGTGTCTCAAGTTTTCAGAGTAGAAAGCACAGTCCTGCTGTTTCCCGAGTAATGAGTTTTTCCTTTGTGTTATAGCATTCATTTGCCACCACAACTGCTTTCTGGTCTATGGTTCTCTGGAAGAGCCCACAGTAGCTACATGGTGCCGGATCATTCACACATCCATCTTAGTTTCCGTATTTATCTGTGTGGTCTTCGCTACGTGCGGGTACTTGACTTTCACCGACTTCACTCAAGGTAAAAAATGAGAGACTAAACCATGTCCTGTCAGGGCACATGTGGACAGGAACCAGCATATCAGTGTGCTGCTCACTCTGGAACATCCCACGCCATGCCTCTTTGACCTGCTCTGTGCTCTATTTTCCTGCCTGTTTATCAGCTGCTCCATAATTTCTCTCTTCTTAACCTCTGAGACTTAGCTCTGTGAGCTAAACTCTCTGCTTCCAGGCGTGTTTGTTTGCTTGTTTCCAGACATGAACTCTGGCTTCCCTCTCCACTGCCACTCTGTACTTTTCCTTTCCTGGGTACTAACAGCCTCCCAGTGCCAAAGCTGATAACCTTTCTGGTTCTTGCCTTTTTGAACCTTTCTGAGGCAGTTAGCTGTACTACTGAACCGCCTTCCACTTCAGGAAAGAATGACTGTACTACAATGGCTTCCCTTTTTCTGTACTAATAATATATATATTATAGGTTTTCATATATATATATATATATATATATATATATATATATATATATATAT